TTAATATATTGTATATTAAAATATGTAGATAGTGTAGACAAGATGATATGATCATAACGGACATGCATTCACATGCGCACGGGTACAATGCTAAAATTTGAATATAATTGGTATCCTTCTGAGAAAACGTTGTTAAAGTCAAAATGCACAGAGTTTGTCTTATTTAATGAAGATTACAGGGAATATGGCACCAAAAAGGAGTTTGGGAGCGTTTGGGGAACATCTGTAACGGTCCCCGTTACAATTAGCACTAGTTACTGTTATAATTAAGTAACTTAAGAATCTTTTACCATGCATAGATATGTTTTAAATATCATATGCATTAAAATCCGCTATTTATGACATTTTAAAATTATATAAACAAGACGAGTTTGAATCTTTATTTAACTCCAAGGAATCTCATCAAGATAAGTGTAAGAGGTAGAGAATGTGGACATTGAGAAACAATGACGTCATGCAACTAAATGGCGACTGCGCCGGGTGAACAATTAATGTCTTTTTATTTTATGATAATTTGAAAAATGTTTAAGTTATCAAGCTAAAATTTTCAACATTTTTCTAACTTTTGTTGTTTTATGCTCCTTAAAAATTTTGTAAGGATAACTTTCATAGTATTAATCTTATCGCATCTGTCTTCGAACTTTTTCGAACAACCCTCGTATATATAGTTACTTCCGTTCATATATCGACTAAATATACTCGGCGCGCTTGATTTGTCTACACCTTACACCCCGTGTACACTTTTCCATAATTAAGTGCAAAAGTGTACACTTTAGGTATACACCATCTACATCCTGTGCAGGGCATATGTATGGAATTGCAACGAAATTTAATATGGCTAACAAATGCCGAGACGATAAAACTGCAGAATTTCTTTTTCTGTATTTGAGTTTACTGTCAAGTAAATGATAGGTTGAATGTGATGAATTGTTTTTAGTAATCTAGTGGACGGCGTTTTGTGCATTTTATGGAAGATGAAGAACTTCATAAGTTGTAAAATAAGAAGCAAGTTTGGGTGATAAAGTCTCTAGATATTTTTGACGACGCCTAGAAATTTAGTCAAAGAGGTAATTATTAAAGGTAGCTAGGAAAATGTTTTTTAAAAAATTTTTTGCCTTTTCATAAAATGTTTTGTTTTTAAATGGATTTTAAAAAATGTTCACAACAAATATTTTATTAAAAAAATTCTGCAAATAGGATCCCCTCAGTTGGTTGAAATGTTGACGTCAATGTTGAATTTGCTACACTACACCCAATTTCACTTGATTATAAGGTGTCTACACTACATTATAATGGTCTACACCTAGTGTAGTAAGGTGTAGACAAATCAAGCGCGCCCACTGTATCCCATTGACTTTGAATTTAAAAAAAGATACCACATATTCTGGCACATCTGTTTTATATTTATATTTTTAGAAAAGACTTTAATGGTAACCTTACAATCAACTATCACTTACTTTTGCAGCAACGTATCCTTATCATCTGCATACGGGTTTCATATCTCCCAGTTGATTCGATACACAAGAACATGCTTTACATGTACCGGTACGTATGAATAATTTCGGAACGAACCAATCATTGATAAAGAAGTTGATGAACAAAAGGATATCAACAGTCTCGTTTAAAGTAACCCTTTTGTAAGTTCTACATGTATGGTCAATTCAATGTCCTTGTCACCAGGTACAATCTTTCAACAAGTCGAATGCTCACTGAAGCTTTTTCTACCATTTGTTGGACATGTTTTAACACATTTAATTGTCAGCGGAATTGTCCGTTTGTCTGATCATGACGAGCAGCTCACAGTAGGTGTCCCCGGTCGACAAGGGGTGCTTCTCCTTTATGGTAGCGGATTCCACTTCTGATATTTAAGAGGCATATGTTTGCTCTGCACCTGATTTGTAATGTTTTGAACCTGCAGCCTTCATTACTGTTTGTTTTCTCCATATTTTACTTAAAGAGTTGCATACAGAATGGAAACCAATACAACTTGCAATTTTTTTCTTCAGAATCCATCCATAACATTAGCCTACGTGTTATCTATAAAATAATATAAAAAGCGTATACTTGAGATAACTCCCTTTGTTTATATAATTGTTTCTGCATATACACTAGTAAATACCCCCTAAGGGTATTGATGGAAGTCGCTGAATTCAAGCCACATAATTAGTCAACAAACTGGGAATGCATACTCTGTCATACACTGTGGAAGCTGAAAAAAGGACAACACAGCTTGACTGTCTTGGAACAAGCCAGCTGTTAATCAAGATATATTCAGATTCCCAAGTACTATATATCATTTCGAATATCACATAGACAACAAAAACCCAAGCTTTCTGTATTCTTGTATGAAGTTATTTTCACAATTATTGCAAGTATTCTTGATGAAATTATGAATATCATGAACAGTATTCAAGCTCAAAGTTCATTAAACAATACAAAATAAGAGCAGAGAAAACAAGGACCTCAAAAACATCAGAGGTGGGATCAGGTGCCATAAAGGAGTGAGTATATCCTGCCGACCAGTCACACCCACCCTGTGCGCTTTGTTGTGATCGAAAAATAAAGTAAAAATTCGTTGACAACTCAGTATATAAATAATAGCCTAACAATTACTATTAGTATGATAAAGGCCAGTCAGCATTTGACTTAATGAGTTGGTATTTGCTGAGAAAGTTATTGTATCGACCATGGAACTTACGAAATGATGTCTTTAAACCAGACTGTTGATATTATTGTTTCAGAAACGTGCTTGTCAATAACTAATCTCGTTTAAGAAAATGTTCATATGTAAAGCATCTCTTGTGTATCGAATTAGCTGAGAGATATAAACCCTGTATGCAGGTGGTGAATGTATATTGCTTCATAAGTAGGATAAAACTTGAATCGCAATATTTTATAAATCACTCAAAGGGATTTTTGTTAAGTTCGTTTTTTAGTTCTTCCCATATTCAAACCTTTTAGAAACCCGTAATCAGAGATTCGGGGACATATTGCTGTTGGTTTCGATCGACCTAGTAAGCTTTCCGCAATAAAATTCCAATCCTGGCCTCAACTTTGAAAGGTTGGTGCTAGGCCTTTACATTTTACAAGACTTTATTTCTTATGACATGACCATTTATTGGGTGATAAAAACTCTTAACTATTTTTGAAAGAGCATGGTCATATTTTCTACACGTCTGTGCTAAGGCTTTTTAAACAATTCATTTGTATATTCCTTGTGACAAGATATTTCTTTGGGTATCAACGTTTTTAATTTAATACCAAGACTTGACATTGAGATTTGACCTCCTTATGGAGGACTTTAAAAGTCTTGCTAAAAACTTTCATACAGGGACGTCAGTGTTCCAAAAACACATTTAAGTTGACTTAGTGCTAGACAGGATGTTCTTTTCCTGGCATATTTGCTTCATCACGTTGTGCCATATTCGAGAAAAAAAAGTCGAACACTAAAAAAATTACTTTCCCCATGGAACACTTATTGAAATGTTTACAACTTTTTGTGAATTCTTTAGACAAAGAAACAAGACTGAAGACATAACAATCCATCATCATTCGCAAAAATGATAACAAAAAGAGCATAGTTGAATTGTCAACGATGTATGAGAAAATATTTACTCTAAAAAGCATTTCTCTAATAAATCTTTCTGACTGAAAACGGGGAAATGTGCCATTCTGAGTTCGATTTTTAACTGCAGGAATCTGTTTCCTAGGGGAAATTTTGGTCTTTGACACAAGAAATCCTGCTGTTTGGTATCAGTATTTTAATTGCTATTTTACAGTTATGTTCACGGAAATGTAAAATAAATATTTATAACTACAGTAACATAAATCGTTCTCTCCTTGAGAGGGTCCTGTGATAAAAAAAAAAACAACTATTAAGCTGTATTCCAATAAAGTATTAGTTTATGTTTTATTCATAAATGTAATGATGTAAGAGGATTCAAAACAAATGCTTAATAAACATAGTTTCACTTTGAACGTCACAACTCACTCCTCTTTTTCACGCATGCGTACACACACTCTATCATATTTTAAATGTTCCAAATGACAAAACAATGATTGTTTAATTACATCGCTGTTTACAATATGTAAACTACATTCTTTAAACAAAAAAAGTAAAGTGTTGCATGGTATACATTGTCTATGTTCGGTAGACTGCTTGTTGTCAAACTTAGATAATTCAATATGTCTTTATAAATCTAATTCGTTTAAGTAAAATGAGGAAGAAGATAATGAGATCACTAAACACCATTATTTTTTCCTCATAATTACACTTTCTGATATACAGCTGTATTCATGTGTAACCCTGAAGATGATGAATCACCTTTAAGTATTCCTAATTTAACTAAATTCGTCTTAATTTAATCTTGTTAATTATATATACATGTAACAATTAACAAAATATCTATTTTCAATTGCAAACTACGGAAAAAAAAGGAAAACAAAATTACACAGCTGTTATGAATACAAGAATATTTATTTAGCTTTCTAACAAACATATGGGGGCATTTTCTCAAACGTTCAAGTGAATTTTATGGTGATTCATTTCAATGAACAATTCATACATGTACATGTACATGTAAAACTGTTACATTTTCAACATAAAATAACCGAAAATTCTAGTTCTCTTTAAAGAAAATTTGATTATAAAAAGCTATTCTGTTCCATGTTTAACAGTCTAAATTTTCAGTTATTACTAGATTCTATTGTGTCAACTTTGAAAAGAATCTATTACAAAACTAGATTTGAAAAATACTAGTTTCTAGTAACAATCAGATTTCTTTTCCAAATCTTTGTTACCAGGACAACAAATGTGCAATTTAGAAGTTTTCCAAATATCGTAATGTTTCGACAAAAAATGGAAAACTTAAATTCTTATTATGCTTATGATACATATGTTTCTCTACGAAATAATGTATTCGAGACTGATTGTTAATTAACTTGTGAAGGACGAATCATAACATGACGATTTCTACCCCATAGGCAAAACTGTCTGGTTCTATAGAAGCATCATCTGCACCTGACACTCTCTAATTCAGAAAATCTACGCTTTTTTCTGCATGTATACATTTTTGTTCAGATTGGAAATAAGTTACAATTCTAAAATTAACATTTTTATTTTGAAAGAGTTCAAACAAGTACTTTGATTCTCAATTACAACAGTACGTCTACTCTCAGGATTAAGGATGAACTAAATTTAGTTTTATAATTATTGTTGTTTATTTTACATGAACTATAAATCTTTTTCCCCCACAAGAAGAATTAATTAGTTTCTCAATGCATGTCTGCTTAGAATATATTATACACACAATATTTATATGCCAATTTCATTATGTACAAACTTGTCAAAAAAAATTACTGTTCTGTAAATGATAGCTGTTCAGTTTTGTTCATATGTAATTATCTAATACTGTTTATCTTAACTTATATTTTACCCTTGCCATAAATTTTTAATGTTTTAATTTATTTTTGAGAACTTTGATGCTTGTGTATTGTCAATGGGTACATCACTTCGACTGTAAAATCCATTACATTAATACACAAGGGTCTGTAGTGCTGTTTCGAACCAGATGTTGGTATTCATCATCATGAATTATTTATAAAATGTCACATTGAAATGGAATGATGTGCGAAAAATATAAACAACAATCTTAATGAGTCTATGTACATAAAAAAATGAAATATAGACAGTTCATTCAAATTCATGATTAAAAATTCCCTCTATGGTAGGGTTTGGACTTGAATGAAAGCGCAACAAAAACACTTCAAAAGTACACATTTCCGTTCACATGTAATTACCCTGCCATTGCTGAGTTCGCACCTTAACTGGCAGTAAAAACACTAATCCTGATTGAAAAGCGCATAAATATTTCATAAATCCAGAATCTTGATCACTTGAATGAAAACCACCACGGCGGGACAGCATCCTTTATACCTCGGGCTCGGCATACAGGTGGGTGGAGAAAATGGACGAATGTTGATGTCCCTTTTTTGCTCAGACGAAGGCACTTTTTTCATGAAAAAAACAGCTCGTGTCAACTAGTCCATGTTAGTGCTATCAATTGAATTATTAATGTTAAATGAACACAAGAACTTTGCAACGAGTTGCTTGAACCATTCTTTCGATCCGAAACGAACTTTCCGTGATCTGTAAAAGACATAGTAAAGTAAAACTTCACACCTGTCCATCAACATTATTCTATTGTTCCAACTTCAGTCGTATGTGTGCCTATGGCGATACTGCAAATGTAGTTTATTTTACCAATGAGACCATCACACTAGAACCACATTTGAGAAGGCGTCAAATAAAAAATGCCTTCATATCTGCATACGTAAAAAAAAACTCGTTAAAAGATTTTTAAAGTGCAGGAAAATTGATGAGATGTTTAAGCGATAGCAGAATACATGTTTCAATTACTTTAGGTGCAACTGTCAGACAACTAGAAGTGACTTTGGAATTTACTGGATAACCAATGCCAATCAATGGCAAACCTACATCAAACTTTTACAAGAATTGGACTTCTGCGAGAATCACTGATTTTTACAGTTTATGATTACTTTGATATTTAAACATGGTTCATATATACGGAGGTACAAAATTTATTATAGATATCTAGTTGATATAGTTATGGTGTTTGGGACACTAGCATGTGAAGGGCGCTATTTAAAGGTAGGGTGGTTGTAGGATTCTTCATAGGCAACTTACGTGTGTTTTATTTGAGCCCGTTATTCTCACCCACGAAATAACATCCTCACGAAAAAGTCAAATTATTTGCTTACGAATATTTATTCCCACGAATTAAAGTGATGTCACAGCAACACAAAGCCCTGATCTGGAGAACATTTGTTCTGTGTATAGCTTGTTATAGTCAACCACAATGGGTTAACGAAGACAGGGTTCACAAATCAAAGTACTCAGAAGTACAGAGAGCCGGGCTCATTTACAGAGTAGAATGAATTTCTTACATGAATCACGTTTATATTCTGATGAAAAAATTATTTTAAAACTATCAATATAAATGATAAGACACTGACAGTGAGTTTTTCAATCCTATTTTGTCAGAATCAGAATTAATCTGGTACCGCAGCTGAATGTAAACAAACAGGCCAGTCTGGTTCCCTCTCCTGCTTTTCCTCGTATGGGTAAACGACTACGATAACACTGATTATTAAAAATCCTTACGCTAATGAACTATGTTCTTTGACTTATGAAGTTTTCGAAGTCATTACTACTAATGTTTATTTTATATAGATAAAACTTCGTTTTATTTTTGTTGCTTTATTTAGCGTTTGTATTATCTCAAAAGCGGTTGAGAGTAAGAACTATATTTTTGCACGTAATGGCGACTATGGGGTCAACATCCTGCCTTGAACAGGATCACATAAGCCGGCAATTGCTCTTTGAGCAATAAGCCCGGCTAAAAACTAAAACGTCTAAACAATTGATTCTGGTAAGACTTAAATCTACACTGATTTTAATACAGTAGCCTGCAACATATAAAAGACATTATTACACTTCTGTTAAAATGTTTCCTATATTAAGTTAAGAAGGTAAAATAACTATCTTTTACAGTTCACGCATAGCAAAGCTATACCACGGGGTATAGTTTTTGCTATCCACCCTCGGAAAATTTTTATGCAATTTTTGCCTCCAAATTTTTATTTCCAGCGATAAATCTATTGACTGATGATGTCATAATGACTTCAGTAGCATTGTGACATTATCAGGATTTCAGATTATTCTTGCAGTATTATCTTACTCCAAAAAATTTCAAACCTCAGAAATTATATAATACATCAGTATAATAAAACGCTTACCCACTGGTTTTGAGTGAGATAGCTCTTTTATCAAACCCTTAACAGGGACTATTCACCTCGGGCAAGCCCTCGGGGAATAGTTCCCTGTCGCGGGTTTAATAAAAGAGCTATCCCACTCACACCCAGTGGATAAGTGTATACTATATTCTCAAGTAAATACTTACTATTGCCTGTGACATCTCTATTCTTCTTGGGCTTTAGAGTCGGAGCTGAAAAGATAATTTATTTTTAAATAATTTAAAATAAATTGTGCTTTGTACTTTTCCCTATCTTAATTAAAAAGAATTAGAGACATTTCAAACTATTAAATTGAATAACCTCATGCAAATTATTTAAAAAATATATCGCATCATATACAGTTAGAGACGATTGCACATTGAAAGCATCCCTTTGAGTTGGGACATGAAAATTTAATCATTAAAGTTTCCCTATTTCTCATACATCACTGTTCATTAACTACCCTGTTCTATAAGCTAACCAGGTCAAATCCCTTAATCAAGAATGTTTAACGTCAATGGAACAATTTCAACTTCTTTTGACGTCAGTAGAAAAAAAAATAAAAGATCAGTGATGGACTTGGGGCATTGTACAGTCGATGTCAGCAGACACACAGAGATGGAGGTCCTCGGTGCAAGCCTTAAGTGCTCAAAGCAAGATTGATTGTATGTTGATTTTACGTCCCTCTCGAGAATTTTTCACTCATATGGAGACGCCACCGCTTGCCGGTTGAAAGCTGCAAAATTTGTCCTATTCTCGGCACATACGACCATTGAGCAGTAATGGATCTTTTTCGTCCAAGCATCTACTTCGACACGGGGCCTCGGTTTATACGGTCTCACCTGAAGGACAGGTCTACAAAGTGGAATTAGAACCTGTTACGTAAGGATCAACTCCTTACTTTTGAGACTCTACAACAGTAGCTCTAACCACTGCGCCACGCGGGTGACCTCAAAGCATGAAGAGGAATCGGTAAGTAAGGAAGTAACTTCTATCGACTATCAAGAATTAAACAAGTTAACTCAGACCAAACTCGACAATAACCTTGAGCTTCGATGAAGACGACGAAAATGAAAATTTTCGTTACGGGGAGTGTGATAAGAGAATAACTTCTTTTGCATAAGAGTTCAAACAAATTCAAACGCACGAAGGCAAAACCTTTTTGTTTATCATATTTATTTATTATTAAAAGTAAATACAGTGGCAATTTCTTTAATACACCAAACACGATAAATAATCTAAAATCTTTCCAGAACAAAAAGTTGTGTTTGCGCAAATGGTTACAATTATGGAATGCTTTGGATTACATAAACTGACGTGGGGGTAGAGTTTGAATCCTTCTAAAAGTAAATTGCCATAGAACATCCTTAAGACATAGCTAGAGGACTAGAATTTATCAAAGTTCAGAGAGTCCACACATATTGTTTTGATTAAGTTTTGTCCTAACAAAGACTTGCTTGACGTGAATTCAGTACACGAGGTTCAATATGTACTGGATAAAAGGCTTATGGCGACTCAAGGGACGCGTATAGTCCAGTGACGTCATGTTACATTCATATATGTACGTATATATCATTTTTTTACAGGGCATAAGCCTACTTTTTAAGTCAATTTTATGTATATTGTGGCAGACAAGACCATAATTAAGAAATAAATAACAAGTTTATAAACTTCAATGGGAATTGAAGTGGGTCGGTCACGTGATCAAATCCTGTGAAGGCCGAAGGCCTTCTCAGAAGATTTGATCGCGTACCGACCCACTTCAATTCCCATTGAAGTTTATAAACTTGTTATTTATTACTTATATATACATTTGAGATGGACAATTAAATATTTTCGAATTTAAATTATTGCACTAACCGTCCGTCGTAGATTTTGAAAAATGACGCAAGGTGTAAATCGGCTTGCATGGCGGTTACGCTTCGAATTCATTAGGAGCCTGCTAAGGAATCTATTTCGAAGGGAATATTTTGTGAAAGGCTACTTGTGATCAGTAATAGTGAACAGATTGTTGTCTGGGAATATTTTATTCATGAAAAATGATAATCGATGCTGAAAAGACACAAGAAACACGTCCGAAGTTTGATGTTAAAAAGTTGGAGGAATTTCGGTCGCTGGATAGGGATGGATGGATCCGATGGATTGAGACACTTGTCCGAGCCAGTTAATTTGCAATTTGATCAAAATCATTCCACGGTTTCAGTAACTAAAGGCATACTTATCGTAAAACACTGATAAACACGGAGACACTGGCGACAGCTTTACATTGAACTACGAAAACGCCGAGGTGTTTGGCAGCTGTTCATGGCATGATTGTAACTTCCAACAGATTTAAATATTTATCGTGAGTAAAATTTAAAGATAAAATAAAAGTTTATCATGAAAATTTAACCAAAGGTCTATCCAAAAAATAACGGATGAACGTTAGAGACTGTGAAGCTGACAAAAGTGAAGAAAAATGTAAACGAACGCTAGGCTCCTAGATTTCTCTATGTACACAGGTTGAATCGATAGCCCAAAAACTGTATGAAATACTTGTTTACATATAAAATAAAATAATTATCATTTTACTTGCTTATTGTATTCATTTTTATACATGAAAAGCAAGTAGAGCAGGTCGTTTTATAATTTATGTACCGGTAGATATTATTGCGCCGTGTGATTAGGTCACGTATTGACCTCTGACCTCTGACAAACTTCATACAGAATTGAAGATATTTTATCTCTGTATGTTTATATAATGGAGAGATACCACAAATGTATATATTTTAGATACATGTACATGCACAGCACATGGATGTGTTACTAAGTATATACATGTAGCAGAGTCTGTGGGAGTAAGTGAAGAGCTAAGATTCGGTAGCAAAAAGGACAACAATTACACAACCTAATACATGTATATGCAAGCAACTCCATGTAGTAAAGATTCAAAATTGTTCAATTCATGCCCCCCCCCCCCACCCACCCACCCAATAGGATAAACGTTAAACCGATGAATGCAGCAAAATTTCTTCAAAACTGATAATTGATAAGTATTGTATTAGATTATTATGAATACTTGGAAAGAGGAAACCGAAACTGAATTAGATCTCAACTGCCTTTCCTGAATAATAAATTATTAATCGGTAAAGTATTCGCAAGATAAATAATTGTCCTCACCCTCTAGAATAGTGACTGACTCGCTCTCCACAAGATCAGCACTAGCTCTGCACACAAACACACCCCGGTCACTGAAACGACTGTTGTCGATGATTAGATGACTTTTAAACTCTCGTTTGTAAGGTTCCCGTTCTCGCGTGATGTAAACCCTATTACGCCATCTGCTGCTACCAGGGACTATTTTCACACCGTTAAAAAACCAGTCCACATCTTCAGGTGCACGACTTTCTCCTTTAACCAAACATGTGAGGTTGATACGTTCATTATGATTGACAATAGTTTTTCCTGTTAATGTCAAGCCTGTGAATGAAGATCTCAGTGTTACATGGGGAATTTTTGTCATGTAAAAATACAGAGATTTTCACCCTATTTGTGTTGTATTCATGTTTATTTTCGCATATTTTCAGCTTAGTAGCCATTATTCAATTATGCAATATTATTACAGATTTTCCTTTCAAAATTCTTAAGAAGAATTTGCAATTCAAAAACGTTTTACCTCAACATTTTAAACATTGTGTTATGTTTATTATCCTAAAATGTCATTTATAGTGTTAAAATATGCAATATATTAAATAAACGAACACATACTTGAAACTTGAATGTGACTTTATTTAGTTCTAGTTTTCCAAAGCGCCAAAATGTACAAAGTAGGACCGATGCAATTAAAGCAAATCCCCTTTACTGAGAATAACAACAAACCCAAACGATACCTGTGTTGGCTGTAATTACCAAAATAGCATCAGAAATATTTAGTATCGTACCTGGTGAAGGCTCCGGTGGGGAATCTGAAAGACAGAAATATCTTAAGTATTGATCTGAGCGCCGTTTTCCTAAGGACTTGATAATAAATATGCAGTCCATCTTGATAAAGTCTATATCTCCAAACGAAGCAGTGAATTATGACCAGGTCCAACATATTTAAACATCCTTATAGGAAGATAACAAATGGTGGGTTTGATGCTCTATTTCTTATATTGAAACTTATATTACTTTTAAGTTGAATCCTATCATGCTTCATTACAGACTGCATTGTTGCAACCACTATTGAAATAACGACCACTATTGAAATATTTATATCAATAGTGGTTGAGAGTGCATTTCAATAGCAAACATAGTTATCAATCACTATTGAAATACGACCACTATTGAAATAATTATATCAATAGTGGCTGAGATTGCATTTCAATAGCAAACATTTTTAGTAACCACTATTGAAATACGACCACTATTGAAATAATTATATCAATAGTGGTTGAGAGTGCATCTCAATAGCAAAATAGTTAGTACCCACTACTGAAATACGACCACTATTGAAATAATTATATCAATAGTGGTTGAGAGTGCATTTCAATAACAAACATAGGTTACAATCACTATTAAAATAATTATTTCAATAGTGGGTGAGAGTGCATTTCAATATATTAACTATAGGTTTCAATCACTATTGAAATACGAGAACTACTGAAATAATTTTTCAATAGTGGGTTAGAGTACATTTCAATATGGTAACCATAGGTTTCAACCACTGTTGAAATGCTACCAGTATTGAAAGAAAATTTTCACCGCGTCAGCAACTTTTGAAATAATTATTTCAATATATATTGGATTCATTGTTCAATGCACTATTGGAATCAATAATTTAATTCACATTGAAATCTTTATTTCAAAAGTGAACATTATTTCAATAGTGGTTGCACCTTATGTTTGTTACTGAAATGAATTTCACCCACTATTGAAATAATCATTTCAACAATATTAGTCGTATTTCAATAGTGGCTACTATCTATGTTTGTTATTGAAACGCACTCTCACCAACTATTGAAATAATTATTTCAATAGTGGTCGTATTTCAATAGTGGTTATTACCTATGTGTTACTGAAGTGCACTCTCAACCACTATTGAAATGATTATTTCAATAGTGGTTATTACCTATGTTTGTTATTGAAGTGCACTCTCAACCACTATTGAAATAATTATTATACCCGCCCCCCCCGCTTGAAAAGTGGGAGGGTATATAATAATAGGGATTTCCGTCCGTCTGTACGTCCGTCCGTCCGTCTGTTACGCTTTATCTCTTATCCGTTACTCCTCTTATACTAGTGAAATTTAATGAAACTTTCACAGAATCTTTATTACATATTGCCATTGTGCACCTCATATTTTACTTTATTATTCGACACGTATTTTAGGTTTCCCATAGCAAAACATGGACATTGCCATTATATGTTTACCTATGACGTCACATATAGAAGCTTCTGGATAACATTTGATAGGACGAGTTATCCCTCTTTACACATTACCGTAAAACAATATATAGCAACACATGGACATTATGGGAGGCGGGGGTATCATTTAGTGAACTCATTGCTCACCGTACCTCTAGTTTCAATAGTGGTCGTATATCAATAGTGGTTATTACCTATGTGTGTTATTGAAATGCACTCTCAACCACTATTGATATAATTTGTTTCAATAGTGGTCGTTATTTCAATAGTGGTTGCAACACTGCATACAGATTAACGAAATTCCTTCAAATGTAAAAATATTCCCCAGAGATTTAAATGTAGGCTTAAATTGTAAAAGTGTGCAAGTTTCCAAGAGAAACTGTTGAAACTTAAAGCTATGGACCTTTTGAACATAGTTTGATTCGACAAGGCTATCATGATAAAATTTGGCATAACTTTACTTTTATCAATGACAAATAAAGATCTATCATTTCGTATAGGCTAAAACTGAATGAACGGGAATATTGAACATATTGATTACCATAATGAGAAACTTGCATTCATTTTGTCGCTTATTTCGAAGAAAATAAAAATTCAAAACAAATTTCTCACACACGAACTTTAGTTACTGCATCATAATACAGAATATTCCTATAGACTTTCATTTTGAATCCAGTCGCTTCAATCATTTTCATTTCAAATTCTTGTTAATATTTTATACATGTATCAATTTCAATAAATGCAATAACAAGATTTATCAACTTCAACTACATGTATAATCAATATTAATGTGTAATATGACTTTCCATTTGAAAAAAAAATTCATAGTCATGTCCTTGAAAATTCTTGTAAATAGGGATTATTGGTATCTGTTTTCCGTTTTAAAAAAATTGATCACATAGTTGGCTATTTCTGACCAGAATTAGTCAGCATAATGAGGATCTAGCGTGTATATTACCAACACTAAGACAATCGTTACAAGTATTTATTTCTTTAATCTAGTTTACTGTTGACTTCCCTCAAGATTCATGGGCATCGTTTTTGTGAAGAGTCCCTTCAATTGACTGAATTAATAATTATAATGTTGTGTGACTTTGCAAATTTTCTCGGAATACATGCCAACGTTTGAAAGAGACCGGATATTCCCCGGACAGTTCCTGCAATGATCTGTATTACCTTCTAACTTAGTACAAAGAACCTGATTAAAGTGATAAATGCACGTGTGCATGCAAATAAATAAATCGATAGGTCATTCATCCTTCATCCATGGAAGAAGTATTCAAGTATCAAAAGGCCTCTTATTCACCTCTACTTCTTCAAATTTCCAAACATTCAAAAATATATGTCAAAATTTACAACCATATCGGTTTAGTTGTTAAGTTAATAAACTTAACGTAAAACATAGGTTCCCCGTCTGGATCAAATGAAATCAATCTTCTTATGTAAAACAAATAAAATTGGATTTATGTGAACGTTATGTGACAAAATACATTAAGGGCTCTTGGCACACTATGATGAAGATCATATTTCTGTGGTGAAGTATAAAATGGATGGTGGAGTCGATCCATGTTAACCACAAATCAGATATCAATGATGCTTCGTGCATCCAACATAATTTTGTCTTAATTGTTGAATTTTAAATTATCTTGCAACCATTACTATTTTTTTTATAAAGATCTAGTCCCAAACAGACTCAGAGTATTTAATCCTTAGACTTCGGTTGGACATATGCCGAAAGATCAGATAAGAACGTGACTATTTCATACAACATTAATGTTTCCCTTTGTCCATGATTCGAACAAATTTGAATGTACATGGATGCTTGCATGAGCAGTTAACGATTAATCTAATGAAATAGTTTTTCTTGAAGCCTTGGAAATACAACAAATAAATTCACCTAAATCTAACAAGAGATTTTACAGATATACAGTACCTGGCAATAAGTGAGTCATAATTTTATTTTTTCATTATATATTTCATTCAAAATGCATTTTTAAAAATTATTATTGCAGTGTTCTTTGTTGCTCATTTTTTACACCATAAAATACAGAATTCTTTGCAGTTTCTTCACAGTATTTCAAAATCATTTATCTTTAGGCACTGCGGTGATTTCATAAGTGTCAAGTGCGAAATAAAAATTTCAAGACTCTAATTTATTAAGTTTATTTAAAATTCATAGTAAATTAAAATTTTTGTCTTGACAATTTCATAATTTATTTTCAATGATTTTTGTATCATTTTGTTTGGGATTTTTATATAAGAAAATTTGAACTATTCTGCATGATTCTGTGGAAAAAATCGAGGATATTGAGCTAAAATTGACTCCACAACAAGTTCTTAAAAATTGGTTTTTCAATGAAATATAATGTAAAAATGCTATTATGACTTACTAATAGCCCTATACTGTAGACTACAAACCTATTACGTTTAGTTGCACCAGGTACACGAAAGATTTAGAGGAAGAGACTTGACACTCGTACTGCCCCGCATCGCTTGGATCCACCCGTTTGATGACCAGGTTCCAATGATCCCGGCCCATCCAGTCTTTCTTCTGTTGGAGGTCGATTTTATCATTAGCGGGAAAGATCATTTCACCAATTGTTAGTGGATATCCGGAACCGAGTTTGCGCCAGACCACCTGGTAATCAGAAACATTTTTTAAAATATTTTTTTTGGCGAAGAAAACTCCATCTCTTTATCAACATCTACAGTATGAAAAAAAAAGAGTGAAGAAAACAAACAGTTATCTATCTCAAAAAATCTATATACAATACAAATCCGTGAAGAGCGTGAAAAACACTACCCTATGGAAATTCAAGAGTTGGGATCAGACACATCTGAGAAGTAAGCATCCCCTGGTTGACCCTTATATTTTACGGTAAAAAACATGCTAGAGATATCTTGTATTATTTTTAAACCATACAGTATTTTTTTCTTCAGAAACAAGTGGCTATGATTTAGACCATTGTCCAACAAATCTCAAAAAAGAATAAAATCCACGATGGTAATCAAAGAACGAGAATAATTACCAAACGTTTGCTCTCTATGGTCCAATCAAAGGTATACATGGAATGATGATATCTTTTTAGAAATGTAAAATTTTACATGTTAAAAAAATGCAGAGTATTCCGTTTATATATGGTCGAAATGTAGACATTATGGTGAGTGAAACATTTGACAGGGGATGTTTACTGCTTCATATGAGATCCCATCGTTTTGTATCCAGGGGTTTGTGGTTTTGTGCTGTTCACGGGTCATTTTGTTTACTAGATATTTGAAGCTAAACACTGTTTGCTATCTTCGTTTTGTTTTTATTTCAAATGTTTCAAACTAATCAGAAAGAACGACAGCCGAAACTCCAGCTTCTCTAAGAATATCGGTCTTCCTAAAGAAGAGAATATATGTAAACAGATTATATCTTGTATCTAGACCACGCTGACATTTCTGACAGACAAAAATTCCTTGATTTCAAGTTTCGAGAAATAACTTTAAAGGGGCATGGTCACAGTTTCAGCTAAATATTTCAAATTCATTTCTTCAGTTTTAAAATATATAGTAACTAAGGTCTTTCTAACGATCATAAAAAATTTGAACGTTAGTTGTCGAGGTACAAGATATATTTAGGGCTCAAAACCTTTGTTATGTAAACAGGGTCCTTGTCATGTTTTTATTTACATAGGTTAATTTACTAATATTTGTTAGTTCAATGCAGATAATTTCAATAAAGAAGTAAATTCCAAATTCAATTCGACAGTTTCTAATGATTTGCTGAATTTCATTTTGTTATAAAAATGATATTTTCTATTTGTAAAAACAGTACAAGCCTTGATTTTATTATGTTACGTTCTGTATCTCGTTTATTAATCAACAAATGATGTTCAAATTTTTGCTGATCATTAGATGATGCCTGAGTTAGGAATTGTAAACATTAAAATTGGTTTTAAAAATTCAGTTGAAAATGTGTCCATGCTCCTTTAATAGCCTACCAAGTGCAAATATGATAAGCAAGCAAAATAGTTAACTGAACGTAAGTGATGTTCAGGGAATTCCTTTTTTGGCATCATTAGTTAAAAAGCAAATTCTCGAGGCGATCGGAACTTGACGAATGGCATCATTTTGACGACTAAATCGAGAAGACGTCAAAGCATTCATTTTATTTGATTTTCGCCTTCCAAGATATTGACGTGTAGAAAGTCTCCTTGTCGAATATATATATTCGGCTGTCATGTTTCTCTATAGACCATTGTCTTAGCTTAAGAAGAAGATCGGGAAAATTTCTCTCTTTGTCCAAGGTTAACCACTGAGCAGAATAATATACGGTGCCCAAAGCCAATTGTTTCGGGAACATATTAGCGTTAATCACCTGCGTCCTCTCGGAATCGGCTTATTTGACCTCTCCGTTGCATTCTTAATATCTAAATCATTACAGGAGAAGAAATAGAATTCCTAGTATTATATTTCCCATGAGGCCATTGGTGCTAGCCTGACCTTTGGTTTCTTACCAATGATTCAAAGGTTATGAGTTATGACACCCTAAGCAATAATTTTACCATTTTAGGACCCAGGTTTTCTATTGTGCACCGTAGAATCGCTGTTTGTCCTGTGTGAACTGTAATGTTTGGTTCCGTCTCGTGGAAATAGGGAACCTGTGTATATCCTGAAATAAAAACCTATCAAAATTACTCAAAATTTAAAAAAAATATATTTAGGTTGAGACATAACAAGCACAGTTAAGGGTGAACGTTACTTATATTATTGAAAAAAAGTAAAAAATTCATAGAAACCATTATACAACTATGACATTTACTTGAAAAAGACGTGAATTGTTATCTAGCTACAAAGCTTCATGACAAACGTGATGACTTTACTTTTCAATCTTCAACATCCATTTTTTATTATTATCCAATATTCCTTTATCACCAGCGCACTGGGTTTATTTCTCTCAGTTGACTCGATACGCATGAGCATGCTCTATGTATGAACAATTGATAAAACGAGATAATTTGACCAAAAAAGTTGATGAAACAAGATTATGATCAGTCTGGTTTAAAAATCATCATTTCGTAAGTTCTGTGGTCGACACTGTGACCTTTTCAGCAAATACAAACTATCATAAAGACAAATGCTGACTGGTGTTTTTTCATACTAATTGTTAGGCCATTACACACTGAATCGTAGACGGATTTTTCCGTTATTTCCCGATCATGACAAGGCGCACACGGCATTTTGACCTGTCGGCAGGGATGCTCATACCTACATGACACAAGATCTTTGTAAGCTTTTACAAAGACACTTCAGAATTTGATTTTTTAAACTTATCCTTATTGAATTTACACGCCAAAAACTAAAAGGTCATGGTTGACCTGTTTTTCTTTTTTTCATCTGCATATTTTTCACTTCTTTACGGAAACCCTGGAGGGACATTGACTTACTTGTTATGACTTATTTGTTATAACTTTTTTGTTTTGACTTATTTGTTGTGAATGTTTCGTAGCTAGTTAAAACTAAGTGTAAGAAAGCTATTGAAAACCTGTTGCTTGGCTTACTTTTATGATAAAAATGATATTTAGTCCTATTTTAACTGTGGTTTTTGATTAACAAATTGTTCTTTAACGTCCAGTACAGTTGTGATTTCTAAAGTAAATATTCTTTTTGTTGTTATAACTTAATTCTTATTTTCTAAAAGTTATTACGTAATTCATATATGTAACTTCAAGTTTGCATGATGATTGACAAACTGACATCTCACTACTATGTATTTCATTTTGTCGTTAGTAATAAATTCAAGGACTTTTTTCTGAAACTATACGTTGTCTTCATCTTGTAAACTAAACTTGTCAGAACAAATTCAAAATAAAAAGAATTCACAGTTAATTCATAAGAACTAAGACAAAACACATAAGAACTAAGTCAAAATACTTAAGAAATAAGTCAAAAACACATTAGGAATAAGTCAATATCTCTGAATGGCGTCCGTAATTAACAGATTAAAATTTAGTAATCACATCAGTTTTGTACGTTTAACTGCAAAACTACAATTAATCGTTCTCAATAGCTTACCTACACTTAGTTAGAAGTAACAAAAAAACTCTCAAAACAAATAAGTCAAAACAAAAAAGTTGTAACAAATAAGTCATAACAAGTAAGTCAATGTCCCTCCAGGGCTTCCGTACTTCTTCTACCCTTCTCTCCAACGGAGTATACAAATGGTACTAGTCTAAATATTTTTTTTTCAATATTCATGCTGTGACATGATGGCAATAGTTTTTAATATACATTTGAGTTTTAATAACAAGAAATATTCTCATTTAAGAATTTAAATTAATGCAATATAGATATACTTTCTGAACTTAGCAGTTATTATGATGCACTATAGTTTCTACGTTGACTGACATTTAAAAATACTTTTAACATTGATTAAGCTATAAATAACAATAGTAAAATAAAAATAACTATAGAATTATTAGTTAGGGAAGGGACTATATTAACCATTTTTATACTAACACTTCATCAAAATTTCCATCAAAAATTATGAAGCACGAAAAGTTCTGAAGTGAAATACTTTGATAAACTATATATAATGAAAAACAAAATCTTAATCTTGGAATTAACAACACTTGAATAATGAAGAATAAATATAAAAAGGATTTAACCAAATAAAGGTTGTCTGAAATTGCAAAGATTTCAAAGAATTGAAAAGATCAAAATTCGGTTATCTATATTTTAAATTTACCTACACTTTAATCGAATGTTTTAATAATTGTTTTCAATCCGAAAATTCAAAAGTAAGGATTGTTTAAAGTAGGTGAAAGGATTTTACTCAAATTTTAAATACAGCTGATTAAACTTTTTTTTCCGATTCAGTATACTAATTAAGCCAAAAGATGAAAGATCTACTCTTCCCCACGAATTCAATCAGCAACAATATAATAATTAAGCTTTCTCCCTTCGTGAGTTCATCTGTTTTTACGTCTGAATGTTTCATTTACGCTTGTTAAAAGAACTTTTTTTCGGAAAACGGCAGCAATTACTAACGTTGTTTGTGAGCGCTGTGTGTAAATATAGAACCCCACTTTCAATTAGAGAAAGACTATCCATCGACCTGCTCTAAACCCAATATTAACACATTTCCTTTGTTTAACCATGCTTTTTTTGATCGCCTGGAGGTACTGAGTGTATAAATCGAGGACCACCTCGCTTCTGCGATTGTCTCTGGTTGTCCATTTGACGCTTTGCCTAATGGCGTCTGTAAACACGTTAGATTGTGCTTATGTTTGCATTTTGTTCTTCTGTAAATGTATAACTTCACATTGCAAATAAAAGGATGTTAGATCATTTAATGAAACCATTGGCAATCTACTCTTTCCCAGATAGTTATATTCCGATGTTCAGTTTTAATCTTCTAACATCTAAATCACCAAAACTCTACAGTGGTGCGTCTGTACTATTGTTCATAGGGAAATGTCCTTGCTTTTGCAAAAAAGCAGTGCTAAATTATCATATTCGGAACATAGAAATTGTAGAAACAGCTTTAACAATTTCTCGTTCAGTGTATTATTAAAAATGTAAATATGTTGAGATCTTCATAATATGAATATAGTTTATGGTTCCTGTTGCCGTTTAGATACAATAGCATTTCATACATATTTTGACGTTAAGAGTACCTTAGTTGTTCGAAAGTTCAATTCCATTTTTTATTAACTCTTAACTTTAAGGCCCATAAGTACAAGTGAATAAAAACAAATATTTGTTCGTAAAGGTTAATAAAAAAATGTTTTAACAGTGTTCATATAATATGCTAGTGTATATAATAAATATCTAAGTCTTTTTTCTACTTTTTGCATCAAAGTAGACAAATTAGCCTATATTGCATAATCTTTAAAAAAAAAGACTAAAACGTTGCAATTATATTAGGTTGATCTTATTACAAAAATGATTTCTTGCAAATTTTGAGATTGTTTTTAAAATAGAATTCTCATGTTGGTTAAATCAAATTGTATGCATATATGTAAAATTGTATTGCTAATCTTTATTATTTCGAATAATCTAAAATCACAAAGATTGTTTCAAATATATTTTCTAGTTGTTAGTGAAGGAATTAAAATTACAACTGTTCCAAAAAAATACATAAACCGCGTATTTGGGTTCCGTAATTTTTCTGTATATTCCCATACTTATACAAACAACGAGACATTTTATTGTTTATATTTAATATAATATGTATGTTTATCAACAAACGTTTGGATGATTTTCAATGAATCACATTTATAAAGTACAGTGTATCCAGAAAGTCGTTTAACACACAACCTGGCTAAGAACCATAATGATACAGGCACTCTGATAATGTAGAAGTCCCAAAAACACTGATGTAACAGTTTTTGCCATCAGTGGACATAATCTTATTACAATATAAAGAGGCTAAGTGTCAATAAAACATATAGCTACCTCGTGGTTAGAAAAAAAGGGGTTATCATCGATGTAATTATATCTGCTATGTAAATTATTCCTAGATATTAACTCCCCCAAGATCTAACTTATTTGGTTAATCTCTTGATAGTATTCTTCCGACCAGGCTAATTTCTGGTTTCCTTACTTTCAAAGGATTGTTTTATCCTCTCTGCTTTCTCTCATACCGCTTGTCTATGCGTAAAGTAATCGATTTTTTTCTCCAAGTTTCTCTACAGGCTTTTAGAACTACAGAGAGAAATTTGTTATTTTCGACACCACTTACACACATAACTCACATCATCCAGCCAAGGCATTTGCCTCAACGAAAGTACACTAGGTCTGTAAATTCGAATATCAGACTCTCGGAGCCCTTTGTACTTAAATGGTTTAAAAAGGATTAGTAGTACATTCATTTTCTTTTGCATTTCTTTCTTTTTTACACATCCATCCCCCGTCTAAAAATACACATCAATTGATTTTAATGTGTTTAAAATGCATTGTTCTTCTGTTCTTGATTATATAATATTTTAAGGCGCTGTATGGAGGACGAACATTTTGTTTAAAGAAGTCTTAAAGCAAAGCTTTTCATTCAGCTACCGACGTCTGTTTTTAAAAGCCCATACGTTAGCTCATTCGTACTGTAAATTCCTTATTTTTCGCGAGTACTTTTTATAACTTCTTGAACGTCAAAACGCAGGAATAAGAATTCGCGAATGGAAGGTTGATCAGTAGAATTTAAATGGATTTCAGTAACCTAAAAATAAAAAGCCAGTAATATTATTTCGCGAGTGATGCCTCTCGCGAAATTACGCGGAAATTAATTCCTCGCATATGATTAGGAATCTACGGTACTTCATAATATACTTTACTGATGGACATTTTTTCAAGATAGTATTAATTTAAGATCAAAGTATGATTAGAAATATTAGAAATTCTTTGACTAAAAATCAGCATAAACTGTGCATTACAAGGTGCTTAGAATGAATTTTCATCAAATGATAAAAAAAGTAAATTACCAAACAAATACTTATAAATTCTCGCATATAAAGAGATTATGGAAATAAAGAAAAATTCTCCTCTGTGTTTGATTAATTGAAAAAAGTATTAGATAGGTTACATGATAAAATTGTATTGGTCCAAGTTGACAAAGCAAGTAACAACATTCTCTGTATTACAAATGTAATTCAATTTAGATGAACTAAGCTAGTG